GGCACATCCATCCATCTCTGACCTGGGGCCAGGAGCCTGCTCTGACCTGACCCAAGCCCAGACACCACAGCCACTCCACCTTCCAGATCCCAGGGTTCCTCCAGGCAGGGTCAAGGTCTTGGAATCCTGAATCCAGAGGATACAGGATGGTGACAGGGGCTGAGGCTGTTGGCTCTGAGCTCTGCTGGAGCTCCCCTGAAGGCAGTGAGGTGGGGTTAAATGGGTTCTGACCAGCAGGGCACACAGGGAAGTGTTGGCAGTGACAAGCTGGGACACCAGCTGTGCAGTGGAGCTTCTCCAGTGTCTTTGCTCACGTGACACCCCCAAGCCAGTGGGATGCTCCTCTCCAAAAGGTCAGGGATGGGCTTTGGAGGGGGCTCTGCATGAATTTATTCCCCTGATGAGCTCATGTCTTGGCAGGAGAAAGCTGCAGATGAAGCTGAGTGGTTTCTCATCAGTCTCATCCATGGCTCAAGCAATGCTGCCCAGTCCTTTGCTCCAGGTGGAAGAGATGGTGAGGGCCTGTTTTTCAGCTTCTCCTAATTTTCTTATCTCTTCTCCCACTTCCTCAGAGCCTACAGGGCTGCAACCAAGTCACCTCTGAAATATGGGCCCTTGTTCATCACTGTGTCAAACCATTTCCCTGAATAATCATAGTTAAAGCCAAAGCTGAAGCCCCACAGCTTCCCTGCCCTGGAATTCCAAGGGTGGAGAGCCCTGGAGGGGACGGCAGTTCTGCTGACACCACAGAAGGGATGGATGGGATGGGAAAAATGGATCAGAGGTGTCTTTGCTTGTTGTGGGCACTTTGGTGCCTCTTGCAAGGAGAGGCTCAGAGTGCAGGGCAGGCGCCCACAGGAGGCTGCAGGAGCCAGCAAGCTCTGCTCCTGTCATAATTCCTCTCAGGAAAAACAGCTCCCAGCACTGGGAACCTTAACTGGACTTGCACCCAGGTGCAAGCACTTCCCAGGCTGGCATGTAAAGGCAATCTCTGCTTTCATCCCACTCCATTCTTCACCTGACCCCTCAGAGCCTCGGTCCCCCAGCCCCCTGGGAGATCTCAAGAGCCCTGCCCCTCCAAGAATGCCAGCTAGTCCAGCTTGCTTTGCCCTGCTGTACAGGCACATAGCTGCTTTGAGAGACACTTGCTGTGCTAGCAGCCAGCCACTGCACCTAGTTTCCTCTCCTAGATTAGTCATTCTTCCCAAATTTCCTTCTTTTGTGTGGGGATTCCCTCTGCTTCCTGCTACAGGCTTCATTTTCCCTGTTCTGTGAGCACTTGGAAGTATTTGTACTGCCAGGGAGGCTAGTTCATCTGTTCAGCTATTTTTATTCCTCCTGCTGTAGCATCTAAAGAATTGTTTTTCCAGAATAATCTCTGCAGGTCAGGAAGGGAAAGAAATCATCTTGGATACAGCTGAATGGATTGAAAGCAGTTTCCTACACAACAGGACCCCATCATCCTGCTGAAGTCTTTAATATTGATACTCCATAACTCGATGATCCTTGTGGGTCCCTTCCAATTTCAGGATATTCTACGATTTAAGTGGCAGAAACTCAAAACAGAGCCATGTTCTTTAAGACATCAGGTCCCGGTGTCAAAGGTGCCAATGCTGGAATTGTGGTGCATCCACTGCACCTCTGAGGACTAAAGGGTTTTGATTTCTTTCCAGAACTATTAAACCTCAGCCGAGCATCCCACAAAATTGCTCTTGCTCTCAGCATGCCCAGGCCTGGCACCAGGAAACAAGCCCTGCCCATGGCAGGGAAGTTGGAATGAAGCGATCTCTGAAATCCCTGCCAGCCCAAACCATCCTGCAATTCTGCGCTCAAGCCTCTGCAAATGCAGATTCCTTTGGAAAAGGATAACCAAAATATTTCTGGGCTCAGCTCATTCTCCGTGGCTGCATCAGTATTTGGGGAGTCAGGCTCCCTCCTGCCGCTCCTTGGAGGCAGCGTGGCCATGCTGCAGCAAACCCAGCCTTGCCCACCAGTGTGGGATGTGTGGAGCATCCCTCATGCTCTGCCTGCAGGGACACGCCTGGAATTCCTGCTCCAAGCCAGGGACTGGCTGCTTCTGGCAGAGCTGTGCCCAGGAGATGAAGGTTTGCAAACTCCTTTTCCCTGGCCCCTTCCTCTGAGCTCAGTCTGCTCCCAGCAAGCCCCAACGCCTCCCCTGTGCCCAGCCATCCCTGCTCCAGGGGGATCCCAGCCCCACATGGATGGATCAGCCTGCACCTCCTGGGTAATTTCACAGGAGACAAGTCCAAATTGGAGCGCCCTTCTCAATTGCCTCTGTGGGTGCTTGTAAGGCCATGCTGTGCTGAGCCCAAGTGCCAAAATGTGTTCTCCTCGTTGCATTCAACCAAAATATCCCCACGGCTGTTCCTGAGGGAGAACATTCCCTTTAGGCTTGAGCTACACATCTGGGCCAGGAAGAGGAACAGCAAACAAGTGGAGTTCTGGAGCAGAAGAGCCTTTTCTGGGTATTGTTGATGCTCTCTCTCACTTGTGGGACACGTCTGAAGGCCTGCCTTAAACACCCCAAGCTTCAAAACACTGTATTTTTCCTCATAGTAGCTTTCAAAATACAGTATTTTACCTCATAGTTGATGTATGGAAGATGGTGCATTCCAAAGCTTCTTTGAACATGTTTAAAAAAAAGGTGTTTGGGGTGTTTGGAAGATGGCACATTCCAAAGCTGTTTTCAACCTGGGTGAGGTTTAAAACTCAGCCTTCTGTCCTCAAGAGTGTGAGCAGGCTGAAGCTGCTGGTTCAGAAGAACCCTTGCAGCAGCTCAGTGCCCCTTGGTGGCCTCTCCCCTCCAGTTTGGCTGTGGTGGGGCTGCCAGAGCTGGTGAAGTGCTGTGTTCCAGCTGCAGCTCCTCCTTGGATCGCATCCTTACTGCCCAGCTCCTCCCTGGGCAAGCTGAGGGCAGCCCTGCCTCTCCTTCCTCATGCACACAGCACATCAGAGTCAGATCCAGCCTTGGACCAGCCTCAGTTCTGCCCCTTCCCTCCCTGTTTTCACCATGAGGGGTGTCCAATAAATATCTCATCCCCATCAGGACTCGCCCCAAAGCTTCTGGGCTGGGGGTGTGTGGCCACAGATTTCTCTTAATCCTCTGGCCTCTTCCCTGTCCAGGGCATCACCTGAACCCTGACACAGCCCTGCTGTTGCTCTCCCAGCCTTTGATCATTCATTCCCAGCCGGACAGATTCTCCCTGTTAGGAATTCCAGGCCTCTAATTGGATTGAGAGCCAGGCCTGCACCTTCCCCTGTAATTTAGCTTTAATTAATGCCCATTTATTATTAACTGTTTTCAGCTGGGCTTAGGCTCAATATCAACTGGTTATTATGCAGAGGCCAGCACGGATTGTTTTCATCTCCTTTATTACCCATTTCAGCAATTTCCTCCCTCCCCTGTTGACAGATGCCCACAGAATGTGCATGATCAGCATAAAGGATCCCTGTGAAGGAACAACGGGGCTTTCAAAGCCACCAAAACCCCGGAAAAGCCTCCACACGTCCCCAGGTCAGTGCCCAAGGCATGTGGACAAAGGAAAATCTCCATGTTCCACAGGAGAAATACAGTTTATATTTTTTTTACTGGCGCACAAAATCTGTGATTGAGTGTGGAAATTACCCAGGAGCTATTTTGAAAGAACTGGGGCATTTTCATGTTCTTTTCCTATTTTCCATTAGCTCATTTCTAGCTTTAAGAAAATAAATAAATAAATAAACAAACAAATAAACAAACAAACAAACAAACAAACAAATAAATAAATAAATAAATAAATAAATAAAAGGAACGGAAAGAGAAAGCTTTCCTTCTACTTCCTTTTATCACATTTCATTCCCCCCCCCCAAAAAAAAATAGAAGCAGTGAAAGTACAACACCACAAATCCAAGAAAACAGCAATATTTAGGAGAGGCCTTCAGAGCCTGGATAAAAAATAGGGAGCTGAAGAAGGAAGACGTAAAGATGAAAAAGATAATCAATTCCAACCCTTAACATAAACACTGCCAAAACCATGTCCCCAGGTGCCACTTCCACACACAGAACACTTTCAGCCTTCCACCACTGCCCTGGCCAGGCTTTCCATGAGGAAATTTCTCCTGATATCCAATCTAAACTGTCCTTCCTCCAAGCTGGCCAAGGCCATTGAAGGTGAAACTTGTCAGAGCTCCAGGTGGGCTCTGGAGCCAGCACCAGGCACCAAAACAAGCAAAAGTCTCCACTGCAAAGGGTGACAGTGACAATTTGTGAGGGAAAGCAACACTGGCAGAGGTGAGAAGAAGAGCTGAGGCATGGCAAAGCCCCTTGCTCCCCTGCTGGGGGTAGAAGAGCGTTTTGAGAAAGGTCAGGAAGTGTCAGAAGAGCAGAAACATCCCCAAGGAGGGATGCAATGTGTGAATGCAGGTAAAAAAACCCTAAAAAACAGTTACAACTGCTCGGGCTTGACATTTCCCCCACCCTTAGGGGATATTTCAGTTCACTGTTTCTTGACAATTGTTGTGAAACTGGCAGCTCTTGCCACATTTAGTGCTTTCTTCTCCTTGCTTTGTGCTAAGGTTGCAAAATCGGCCTCTGGTGTTTGGTGGGGAAAGAAATCAGCACTCCAGAGTTTCCAGGACTCAAAATCCCACCTTGCTCCAAAGCTCCCTTTGCCCCAGGGGTGTGGGGGACACTAAATCTCCTTAAAACCTTGAGTGACACCAGGCAGGCTCAGGTAGAGGTCCCTTAAAGCAGGTCGGGATGACAGGGGCATCCCAGGCACGTGCTGTGGCCTTGTGGAAATGGGAAAATAATGGAAAGGAGGGAGAAGTCTGTGCAGTGTTAAATGATCCCATCCCATCCCATCCCATCCCATCCCATCCCATCCCATCCCATCCCATCCCATCCCATCCCATCCATCCCATCCCATCCCATCCCATCCCATCCCATCCCATCCCATCCCATCCCCAGCACAGCCCAAGAGCTGCCCCAGGACAATTACCTTGAGCCATCCAGCCGGGAGCTCTTCCCTACAAAAGCCTTTTTTGCTTTAATTACTCTCATTTGGAAGTCAGTTCAGAGCAGCTTTCCTGCCTGCAGCAGCCCTCGAGGGGCTGGAAAACAACAAAACTGTTTTCAGTTGCATATCAGCCCCCTCAGGCTTGACAAAAAATAGCGGAAATGCATCAACAAAACATTTTAAAGACACTTCCTAAAGATGTTTTCCCCAACTTGCTCTTACCCAGGCTTTTAGCACAGGCAACTGCCCAGCCCTCAAGGCTGGAAATAATCAGAGACCCATCATCATCATCAAAGGATCTGGGTAGGGAGAGACCTTCAAAACCATCCAGTTCCACCCCCCTGCCATGGCAGGGACACCTTCCATTGGCCCAGGTTGCCTCAAACCCCGTCCAGCCTGGCCTTGGGCACTGCCAGGGATCCAGGGGCAGCCACAGCTGCTCTGGGCACCCTGTGCCAGGACCTGCCCACCCTCACTGGGAACAATTCCTGCCCAATATCCCATCCATCCCTGCCCTCTGGCAGTGGGAAGACATCCCCTGTCTCCTGTCACTGCAGACCAGGACAGAAACCATCAATATTGGATGCTGCCTGTCCCAAGGGTGTTTTGGTAGCCAGGAGAAGCCTGACTGATGGTCCAGTGTGTTTTCATCCACAGCAGCTTGGACTACCAAAGCAATGGCTGCCTGTGGCCACAGCAGTTTATTTTGGGAGATCTGGAAGGCACAGTGTTTAGCATACTGGCAAGGAAGAGTTTCTGAAATATTTTATAGCACACGCCAATAAAAAAAAGCTGAGGTTTCAGCAAAACGTCACTACACCGGGAAAGTAAAATCAAGAGCAAGCCACACCTGTCCCCATCTCTGTTGACCCTCTCCTCCTCTCTGAATTCCTTTGGAGCTGAAGCAGTGACTGCCATGGTCTCTGGCTCTCCCGGGTATAAATCCATCAGGTTTCAGCCACTTCCGAGCCAGACTCTGAAAATAAGCTCTGCGTGGCCTTGCAGGTGACCCAGAACAAGCAACAGAGCAGAGTTTGGATCACAGCTTTTAAATCCTGGCTCTGCTCCTGCCAGCAGCCCTTGTCACCAGCTGATAACCAGAAGCAAAGGGCTGGATGTGGCACCAGTGCCCTGGAACAACAGCCTGTCCTGCAGGGAGCAGATGGCAGCCTGGACCTGGGCATCACCTCGGCTTGCTCAAGGCATTCCATGTCCAAGTCCTCTCCTGGCATGAATGGACCCATTTCCCATCCAGCAGGGGCTCTGCAGCAGCTTTGCACGGTGCCTTTTTCTGATTGAGGTAAAATCCAGGAGCAGCTGTGGTCGCCTTTCCTGACGCATGCGTGGGATCCCCACAGCAGCAAGGATGCATCAGCATCCCCATGATTTTGGATTTTGGAGGGCTGGAAACATGCCTGGGGGCACAGCCCTGCTGTCTGAAAGCCTTTTCCCACCTCCTGCTCATGGAAACATCCTGCCCAAGGCAGATTTCTCACCTCGCCAGCTCGGGGAGGGGAAAGGCACAGACTGCAGCCAAAGCTGGAGCTGCCTGGAAAATTGGGCATGCTGGCACCTCTCGGGGTGGCAAGGGCTGAAGGGTGGCCCAGGCACCTGATAAAGCCAGTGTCAGTCCTCCAGAGGAAGGGAAGTGCTGGGAGCATCCTCCTGTGAGGCTGTAATTCCTGCTGGCCCTCTGTCCCTGCTCCATTTGCCATTAGATGCTCCTGGCAACCAGCAGCAAGATTTTGAAGCCTTGGCATGTGGCTGGGAGAGCTTGGAGTGGGAACAGGCAGCTTGGAACCCACCCTCGCTCTGCAAACAGAGGTGTTTCCCTTTCTCAGAGCTCCCAGCCCTTCCCAGAGCCTTCCTCAGAGCAATTTCCAGGGTCAGAGTGGCTGGGTTTGGGACACGGGACAGCACACTGTCCCTGCATCACAGACAGGGCAAAACAGGCATGAAAAGCAACAGATGAAAAGGGTGGGCAGGCCCTGGCACAGGGTGCCCAGAGCAGCTGTGACTGCCCCTGGATCCCTGGCAGTGCCCAAGGCCAGGCTGGACAGGGCTTGGAGCAGTCTGGGACAGTGGAAGGTGTCCCTGCCATGGCAGGGGTGGTACTGGATGGGATTTAAGTTCCATTCCAACCCAAACTATTCTGGGATTCCATGGGAAATAAAGCCTGGCTATTCTGCCTCAAAGGGGTCTGGCATGGAAATGTGCCCTCCAACCTTTTGGATCACTTCCCTTCTCCAAGGCAGGTGTTGTTTTGTGTTCCACTCCCTCCACCTGCCCACTCCTGCCCTAGCACAGGGAGAGCTCCTGAAAGAGCTGCTCTTGAGCCTTTTATTTCGGATGCAAATCATTGGTATTCTGCAAGAAAAGCTCTCTCTTGGAGGGCCATCCTGCCAGACCTGTTCCAGCTGATTTCCTCACAGAGCTGAAGCCCTGCCCATAAAAACCTCGGGCTGCAAACCAGGGCTCGCCCTCTTCCTTTCTTTATCATTCCAGACCCGTATCTCTCCTCATTTGTCTCCTTTTATTTCCCTTCCCTCACATCTGCCTTGCTGCAGAGCGTTGTTAATAAGATTTATGGCTGAAAGTTCTCTGGCATCCAGGTAATTCTGTAGGTACTTGCTGGTCCGGTTTGGAAAGCAAACAACTCCCCTCACCATTCCCCTCTTGGCTCTGCTACCTGAATACCCTTGGGCAAACCCTGGGGAGGGTAAATATTTGGTCCTGGCTCCAAAACTTTAAGGCTCCCCTCTTATGAGGGGATCTGGGCAGGGTTAGGGATGCCCTTTCCCATGCCATGGGTTTGCTGAGGACCAACAGAGCAGGGGAGGAGGGGAAACAGGAGCTCTGCAGGACGCTGGGATCACCAAACCAGAGCAATTCCATGTGAAAAGATCCCTTGAGGCCACTGCTCAAAGCTCTTGTTTGGGGTTTAACCACCTCCAGGGATAAACTGGATTTGTAGGAAGATGCTGCTTCTCGGGGAAGATTTTTTTTTGGGTTTTCTTCAGCTCTGCACAAGTAGGAGGCATTGAGAGCTTGTCCAGGAGTAAATTAAAACTAAGACATCCTATGCCTCCAGCCAGAAAAGCAGAAAATGGGGAAAACCAGCTTCTCCAAGAGTAATTATGCAACAAAGTGACTGAATGGGGTAGACAGCCGAGGTTGAATCCCTACCATGGATCCTGTGGCAGCAGCACCACCAGGAAAACCTTTGTGGGCTTTCACACTGAAGAACAAGCAAGGGAAATCTGAGTGTCATCTGATCCCGTGACTGGGAAGTGGGAATTTGTTGCTAACAGAGCAGGGTTGTTTCAAAGAGCTGTGTTCATGGGATCAGAGAATAGTTTGGGATGGGAGGGACCTTCAGGACCATCCCAATCCACCTCTGCCATGGGCAGGGGCATCTTCCACTGTCCCAGGCTGTTCCAAGCCCCAGTGTCCAGCCTGGCCTTGGGCACTGCCAGGGATCCAGGGGCAGCCACAGCTGCTCTGGGCACCCTGTGCCAGGGCCTGCCCACCCTCCCAGGGAACAATTCCCAATTCCCAATATCCCATCCATCCCTGCCCTCTGGCAGTGGGAAGCCATTCCCTGTGTCCTGTTCCTCCATCCCTTCTCCCAAGTCCCTCTGCAGCTCTCCTGAGGTGTTTTTCTGCACATGGGCCACAGCAAAGTGGCCTTTTTTCACCAAACCAGCTCCCCAGAGCATGGTGATAACTCACAGGATCATGGTGGCACAACAGAAACCTTTCCCTTTGCTCCAGATCTTCCTGGAAACTTCTCTGTGAAGCAACAGAAGGAAAACCAGTGCCAAAATGTAACTGAGGAACCTCCCAAATCTCTCTCTAATCCATGGGCACAGTCCAGGTCTGCCATGGGATGGGAAATTTATATCATCTGCCAACAAAAAAAGCAAATTGAAGGGGACTCCATTTTGTACCATGCAGTTTCTTCTGCTTCTGGCTGCTGGTATATATTTTTATTTTAAGGTTGGTTGTGCTTGCTGGAGGGTAAAGTCTTGTTCCCTGCACTTTCTCCTCCCTTTCTATGGGTTGCAAATCCTGTGATATTTACAGGGCATGTTGGGGACACGGTTTAGTGGTTGCACTCGAGCTTAGAGGGCTTTTCCAACCTCAGTGATGACCCTGTGATCTTGCTCCTCTTAGAAAATCCTGTCAATTTTATGCTCTGTGCCAACTGCCCCTTTGAAGGGCTTCTCCAGAGTGGGCCAGGAGGGGATTATCCATCCTGGAATCTTCCTGCCAGGCCTGCAGCTGGGAATCAGGGGAATGGCACACTCCAGACAGCCCATCTGCAGTGCAGTGCCATCAGGGAGTGACTCCGTGGCAGCCCAGGCACTCCACGGGCAGTTTTCCCTTTCATGGAGGGCACTCCCTTGGAACGAGCACTTGGCAGCAGATGAGTGAGGAATGAGATGGCTCTAATCCTGTAATTTAATTAGAGCTGTGTGGAACTGCCGAAGGAAAAGCCCATTTCCTGAGCAGGCTGCAGCACTGGGTGTCTCGGGCCCTCCTGCTCCTCCTCGCTGCAGAGCTTCCCCCCCCTGCCCTAATCCTGCTTGCCCTTCCCATGGGTTTTAGTCTGTCCACCCCCAGCTGGAGGAGTCTGGTGGGGAGGGGAAGGGCAGGAGTTCTGGTTTCATCCCACAGAAGCAGGAGGTGGCAGTGCCAATCTAAGCTCCAGGTCCCCCTCCCTGTGGGAGAAGTTCCAGACCTCCTATTTTGCAAACGAGCAAAAACTGTTGACCAGGACAAGCCAAGGATGTGGTGCTGCAGGAGGATGCTGGGGGGACAGATGCCATCTGCCCTGACCCCCCTCTCACACCATTCCACAAGCAGAAATGTCCTTCAGGATGTCCCCAGCTGCTGGGGAGCACTGAGCAGCCCTCCCTGACCATCCCATGGAGTAGCTCCCAGATAAAGTGCAGAGCAGGCTCAGATGGCAGGGCCTGGAGACCTCTTTGGAGCACATTCAGACCTGCTTCCTGCTGGCCTCAGAGCCCAGCTTCCCCCTCATGGCCTGGGCATGTCCTTGAGGCTGGGGAGGGCCTGGCACAGGGTGCCCAGAGCAGCTGGCCCATCCCTGGAAGTGTTCAAGGCCACATCAGAAGGATCTTGGAGCAGCCTGGTCTGGTGGAAGGGGTCCCTGCTTGTGGAAGGGTGGAACATGATGAGCTTTAAGGTCCTTTCCCACCCAAACTATGATGGAGCAAAAGGATCTGAGAATGAGAGGCCAGCAGCCTGAGGGACCACTTGGTAAAGGCAGGAATGCATAAACCCATCTGTTCACGAGGGGAGCATCCTGTTGATACCTCCTCCCCATCTCAGGGAAAAGGTCATCCTGACCCAAAATCCACTTGGGATCAGTTCAGCAGCTTTTGCTTGGATTCTGGCTCATTCCTGCCCCCCACATTCCTGGGCCAGGGCTCCCAGCAGCCTCCCAGGGGTTCTGCCAGCCACAAAGCTCCCCTGGTGCAAACAAATTCCTGCACAGCAGCAAAATCCCAGCAGCAAAATGCCTGATGAACAATCCCTGGCTGCTCGCCACCCATCCACCAGGCCCGAGCTTGCAGCAGTAATTGCTGCCCCATTAAGTGTTCCGGATGCTCCAAGGTGAAAGGGAGCTTTGTCCCAGAGCCCTGGGAGAGCCAGGGATGCCTGAAGCTGGCATGCAGCTCCTCCTGCACAAAGTCCTGGTGCCTGGACAAAGGCAGGGCTGGGCATCCCATTCTGCTCCTCAAAGCCTTGGCCAGCTCCCAGCTCCAAGGGGAAGGGGGGAATTCTGGTATCTCACAGAAAGTCCTGACCAGTGTCCGTGGTGATGCACTGGAGACACCCCTGGAAATGCACCCAGGGGATAACATCATCTTCTGTTATTGTTGCTTTTTAGGAATCATTCTGCCTGGTCATAAGTCTCCTATACTGAACTGTGTTCCTATCAGCAAACTTCTTGGTGCAATAAGCTCTTGGTGCCAAATCTCTTTATAATCTGCTAAACTCCTTCTTGGAGGTCCAATATTCGCCTACAAGTCCAGTTTTGACAGTAATCTCAAGGTGACCTCTGAGGACAAACTCAGTTCAATGCCCCCAGGAGATGTCACCATCCCAGTCCCACAGGAACACCCCGGGAAATGTCATTATCCTGGTGTCCTCAGAAGTGTCCTGAGGCAATGTCTGTACCCCAGTGCCACAGAAATGCCCCCAGGAGACGCCACCACCCAGTGACACCAACAAAAGCAGCTGCACCTCACTCCCCTGGCACGGGAGGAGCCCCAGGACAGCAGTGATAGTGCTGTGGGGCCAGGCCAGCAGGTCCCCAGCTGGTTGTAATCCTCTGCAGGCAGCTTCTGACAGAAGCCAAGGAAATCCCCAGCACTGGGAATTCTCTTGCTCTTCTCCTAAGCTGAAGGCTGCTGGAGAGCTGCACCAAGACCAAAGGTTTTGCTGCTGGACTGCCAACCTTTTCCTGATGCTCTTGTGCAGGATGAGATCTGTGGCCCAGCCTGGAGGGAGCATTCCTTTGTGGCCCCCTGAGGAATCCCACACACACAGGAGGCTGCCTGGGTGTGTGGCTGAGCAGGGATTCCCCTGCTGCAGAGCCCACCTTTCACTCACCTGTGGGAGGGATTGGAGCCACTCCAGCGTTTGGGATCTTCAGAGGAAGCAGAACAGGCAGGAAAAGACACTGAGGGCCAGAGGGAGTTGGGAAACTTGGCTGTAAGGACTGCTCCTGCTTGCAAACAAAAAAAAAAGGAATGAAGTTTCATGAATCCAGGGCCAGCACCACGCTCCTTTGCCTCAGGTGATGCTCTTGGTCTGTACCTGAACCACCCTGTCTCTGACAGCCCTGCCCTGCCCCAGCCTGGAAAATCAGCACCAGGCACAGCCAGCCCTTGCTGATCCAGGCAAAACCTGGAAAAGAGCTGCTCTCGTGTCATCTCCCTAAATTTCTGGGTGCTCCTGAAGGAGCGTTATCATTTATAGCACACTCCCTCAAAGGATTGCCTTTCAGCTTCTCATTTCCTTCCTTTTCAAACTATTTAGGCAAGGAGTAAGTCATAGTTTGTTAACCCAGGCAGGAGGAAATTGCTCTTATTTAGCCAAGGCTCTGAACCCTGCTGAATTCAGTGGCCTGGTCTTGGAGGAAAGCAAGCCTGACCAGTGCAGCTCTTGGAAACCACCTTGATGTGTTTTGATCCCACTGCTGGTTCCCGAGGGACTCCTGCGTGAGGAGGGACTCTAAGGGTGGCCAGCTGCTCCAGCCAAACCCAGACCTCCCCCAACTGTTTGCAAAGCACCAGGCAGGGCTCTTCCCACCAGCTTCCTCTTCTGCAGACAGCTTGTGTGTGCAGCTACGCCCAGCAGACGCAGAGCCGCTGCAACTTCCCGGTCCCAAAAACCCCCCAATTCACCCTGCAAGCAAGAGCTGTGATCCCATAAAATCATAGAATGGTGTGGGTTGTAAAGGACCTTAAAGATCATACAGTGCCATCCCCTTGCCATGGGCAGGGACATCTTCCACTGTCCCAGGCTGTTCCAAGTCCCAGTGTCCAGCCTGGCCTTGGGCACTGCCAGGGATCCAGGGGCAGCCACAGCTGCTCTGGGCACCCTGTGCCAGGGCCTGCCCACCTCCCAGGGAACAATTCCTTCCCAATATCCCATCCATCCCTGCCCTCTGGCAGTGGGAAGCCATTCCCATGTCCTGTCCTTCCATGCCTCTCCAGCTCTCCTGGAGCCCTTTAGGGCCTGGAAGGGGCTCTGAGCTCTCCCTAGAGCCTTCTCCAGGTGAGCACATCCAGCTCTCCCTAGAGCCTTCTCCAGGTGAGCACATCCAGCTCTCCCAGCCTGGCTCCAGAGCAGAGGGGCTCCAGCCCTTGGAGCTGTACTGTAGTTCCACATCCTTCTGCTTTGACCCCACAGCTCTACGGGTGGGGTCTCACCTGAGCAGGGCAGAGAGAATTCCCCCCCTTCCCTGCTGCACATGCTGTGGGATCAGCCCAGCACATGGGGATTTTCTGGCCTGCAGATGCATGTGGCTGAGTCCTGCTGAGCTTCTTAACAAGTCCTTCTCCTTAGGGCTGCTCTCCATCCATTCCGCACCCAGCCTGTATTTCTGCATTTCTGTGTTTCTGTATTTCTGCTTCTCACTGAGCCATGCAGCAGCAGGCTGTAAATTCCTTCTTCCTGCCATGAAACAAGCAGCAGGAGTGAGTGATACAGGATTCCCAGCCATATTCCCTGCACTCTGTCCCTCCTTCCCACATGCAGTGCCAGCCAGATGGAGAAGCACTGGGCTCTCAGCTGGGATGTCCCTTTCTGGAGACACCCCAATGTGAAACATTTCTCCAAGTGCATTCCCTCCCATCTCCAGGGAATGCAGGGTGAGGAGGGAGTTCAAGAGAGGTTACAGCACCAGGTAAGGACAGAGAAAATGAGATTTATTACCCTGCTCTGATTCAGGCTTTGGGTGAATCACAAGTGGCTCAGCTGCTTTGAGACCAAGGGCAGCTGAACAGCTGAGGTGACTTTGGCACTTTGTGGCCCTCACTGTTCTCTTCTGAGTGTTGTCCCCTGATGGTAACAAGGATGGGAATTCAGGAAGAAATCTCTCCAGGAACCTGCAGCAGCTATAAGATGGACTTGAGCTCAGTGGCCACTCCAGAATCCACTCCTGGGGAAGGCAATCCTGTGAGCAAGCGGCACCTTTGGAGCCTGCAGTACTAATTATAAGAAAAGCTGAGGAGAAAGAGAGGAAAACAAAGGACAGTTCTGAGCAATGACTGCTTTACCACAACTGCACTGCCATCCAACCTCCAAAAATTCTGGGACAAGCCCACTCCTGTGTCATCTTGTGTAGTTTCTGGAGCTAAACAGCTGCTTTTGGGAGGGATACTGCACTATCCTGCTCCAGCAGGAAACCAAAGCAGTGGATTTACCCTGTCCTTTCCTGCAGGAGGAACAGTGTGGTGGTTTCTGACAGCAGTAAGGAGGTGTTTACACACATCTGCAAAGCCCTTCCAGGCCCAGGGAGCAGCCAAACCCGCAGGGAGACCTGCCAGGAAAGGAACTCAATCCTCTGGTATGCAGAAGGGCATTGAAAAGGTAAAATGGGAGTTCCAAGGAGGGGGAGATGCAGCTATGGACTAGAAGAACATGTAGAAAGAGGAGGAAAAGGGAGGTAGTGAAGGGGGCATGTCAGCACAAAGTAAACGAGGCAGATGTGGTAATTAGCCTGTCTTTCCCGATGGAAAGATGTTTCCAGCAGGATGATTTCCTTCTGGCATCAGTCAGGGACAGCACAAAGCATCCATCCTGTCACCCTGATTCTTAAGATTTTCTAAAGCCTTCTGAGTTTACATTCTGTTAGAAAACTTTCTCACACAATTTTCTATAAACAACATATTGTTTTGCATTCCTTCATAGGGGTGGAGAAACTTGATGTAGTTTGTCCAATGCCTTTGGAGCGGTGGCACATTCACTCTCCAATCCACTGTCACCTTTGGAAAAGTATAAAAGTTGGAGTCAGAAAATAAACCTTTTTTTCTTTACCTTGCAAATAGCGGTGGCTCATGTTGTGCTTTCACGTGTCCTATAGCGACACATCCAAGCCCAGTGCTCCCAGCACAAGATGGGCACTGGGGAGGCTGCTTGGGCAACTGAGCTCCAGCTCTGTGCCCTGGCAGAGCTGTCCTGCAGGAAGCTCTGTACCCCCGAGGGAGGGGACAGGGAGGGGACAAGGGCAGGAGCCAGCCCACCCCTCAGGTGCCAGCGGGAGGAACAACAATCCTGCCTGAACAAGAAACAGCCCAGGGTTTCCAGGTTTGCCTGCAGGATCTGGGAGGGCGTGCAGGGAGCTCATCACATTCCAGGCTGCAGCAGCAGTGTGGCTAAGCTGATATCCATCTTCCCCCTTCACCGGGCCTGACCTCAGCAGAGGCAGCGGCTGTGCCTGCTCACTCGGGGTGACTAAAGCAAGGTTGGAGCCAGCTTTTCCCAGCCCAGGATTGTACACACACCACGCTCCTTCTCCAAGGAAAGGGCTGGTGGGGGGGTGGATTTTGCCAGTTCCTCTTTCCCCAAATCAAGGGCAGGACATGCATGTGAAAAATGACCTTGGTTTATAGCTGTACAGAGAGGTTGATGTTCGTATTCAGTGTGGCCAGCCCATGCCAGGAAGTTCCACCACAGGGCTTAAAAAAGAGACTGGGAAGATAAAATTGCACTGACATTTAATAGGGTAGAGAGGCACAGGGGTAGCCCTAAACTGGGTGCAATGAAATAGACCTCTTAATCTTCTTTTCAATGTTCCTCTTATGCTAAAATTATCTCCTTTAGAAGCAGAAAATTCTGATGTTATGGGATAACACCAGAAAGTCACTTCCTGCAGCTCCAGAATGCTCAGAAGATGGGAAAGGTTTTTTTTTTTTGAGCACTGGGTTTTCACAGCTTCCCCCTTCACAAGTCACACCTTAAACACAAACCAGCCAAGGCTGGGGAATGTTGGGCTGTTGGGTGACCTCCAGCACCATTGGGATGCACTGGTCCCCGTGGGGATTGCACTAAGGGAGAAAAAAAGTCTGGGTAGGTCTGGTCTGGCCAGTGTGCAGGCCAGGACCAGCCTGGTAATGAGGCAGCAAATTCCCACTCCAGAGTCTGCTTGGGAGAAGGAACTCAAGACGATCTTACATCAGACTGGGCCAGAAGTGTCTCCATCACTAAAGGAAGAGCTCCTGGCTTGTGACAGGAGACCAAGTGACTCAGTTGTGGTGGGTGGGGGACACAGGAGAAGGGGATGTGGTCAGGGAGCAGGGCATGACTCAACAAGGAAGGGCATCTGCTGATAACAGCTGGATAAACTCAAAGCAGAGACATCAGGTCTGCTCGGGAAAACATCTGAGCTGGAAGTCAAAAGCTGGAGACAGTGATCCTGGCAGGCAGAGCAAGGGAGAGCTGTGAGAGCCTGGCATGGGCCTTTCCTGCTTGGCAGCTGTCTTGGTTTGAAAAGACAGGTGTCTGCTAAGGAAGGCAGGAGCCTCCCCTGAAATGGAAAATGGAAACCCCCTCCCTTTGAATTGTTATAATTTTGAAATTAAGGTGCTCTCAGGCAAAGATATGGAAGCAGGAATAACAGTTCTTTATTAGGGTAGAAAAAAAAAAATAAACAATGCAGTAATACAAAACAACACTGACAGAGTCAGAATAGGACCTGACACCCTGTGGGTCAGGGTGTTGACAGCAGCCCCATTAAATGGTGGCTGCATTCCTGCTGGAGTGACAGATGTGGTTCTGGTGGACCAGGGATCCTGGAGAAAGGCGTAGTCTTCCTCTGAAGGTTCAGTAGTGGCGTAGATGGGCCTGGTCTTCCTCTGGGAATCCAGTGGGAAAGGGCTGCTCCTCTGGGAATCCAGTGGAAAAGGCTGCTGTGGTGTCCCAAATCTCAGATCATACCCAGGTAGGAATGCTTGGCTCCTCCCCCTGGGCAGCGCATCTCCCAGAGGGATGATGGAATTTTATCAGCCATGCAGTGACACTCACTGGCCCATGAACAGAAGAGATCTCCTGGAGGGAGGATTGGTTTGTGGAAGAGATAAAGAAAAAACTGCCCAATGAACAGAAGAGAACTGCCCCAACTCTGACAGATGGTAATAGAATACACACCCCCAGCCACATCTTCCAACCCAAGACAACAGCTCAGCATGGACTCAGGATGAACATTTTCCAGCAGGTAGTGCCATGGCCTCGTGTCTCGCACTCCATGATTTCTGGGCTTGGAGGCAGCCTTGTTCCCTGTTGTATTCCTGCAGCCTCACACCACCACAAGGGACAGACAATTCCCTCCCATCCCACAAGGCACCAGTCCTGCTGCTGCAGTTCCCTGCAGGAATGCTCTTGTGCAAGAGGCAAGAGCTGAGACGTGGGACAGCACAAATCAATTTGCACTCTTCTGCTGCCTCCTCTCCTTCACCACCCTCAAAACCTCAGCTCTGAGCAGTTGGAGATCCCACCAAAGAAAATGAGGGAAAAGGAAAGGCACAAAGGAACCACCTTCACCTGGTGGGAATGACACAGAGGGCACAACCAACCTACAAGTCTCAAAAATGCCCCTGGCATCAGGTGAGGAACCTCAGGAAGGGATATGGGCCAATATGTCCAGCAAGGAGACCAAGGATGAGAA